CCATACCGTCTATGTCAACGCATCAACGTTCGTGAGCAACGCTCAGTTTGGGTTCCAGGTGGATGGCCACTTCGCTCGCATCAACGTGACCTACTCCAAGTTTGAACAGAATACCTGCCACAAAGGAGTGATGTCCCTGAAGGGCATGGAGAAGGAGCTGTTCATCCACGACAATGAAATAATTTCCAACATCGGTTCTTACGTGGTGGAGTTCGACACGGACAGCCAGAGCGGCATTCTTGGCGTTGTCAGTGCCTACTTTGAGTACAACAGAGTGCAAGGGAACAGGCACATGACCCAGCTGAGGAGCAGTGGATCCCGCGCATACCAGCCGGCAAGTTACACCATAGCTGTTCGAGGACTTCAGAAGATCAACATCACGCACAATCAGTTCGGCTCCAACGAGATGGACTACGAGCTGCTGGCGGGGCTGTACACGAGCAGAATCGACAACTACCTCAACGTGGAGGCCAACTGGTGGGGCTCGCGAGACCCGGAGGTGATCCGCGAGAGGATCTTCGACTTCGACGACTGGAACAATTTCGCCCTGGCGGACTACCTGCCGTACCTCATCGAAGACAGCCTGTCGGCGCCTGTGTCGTCTGTGGGAGGGGCGGGAACCGATAGGAACGTGATGGACCTGAACTCTCTGGGAGGACGCCTTTTGCAGAACCTGAGGTTGCCAAGACGCTCGGAGCCGTACGTCGTGAAATCCGACCTGACCGTGATGCCCGGAGTGACCCTGGTGATCGAGCCCGGGGCGACGCTCGAGTTCTTCCCGAGCGTTGGCATCCTCGTCCTGGGCCGCCTGGAAGCCATCGGGAGGCGGGACGACCGCATCACCATGAGGCCCATCGACACGTCCACCGCCACGCACTACCGCATCGGTCGGCAGACGAGGTCGGCTTTGGAGGCCGTAAGGCTGTGCGTGGAAGGGCAGTGTGAAGGAAGAAGGTAAATCAGTACAGTTCTACTAAAGTCAGTGCATTGTTTCTCACCTAAAGAATGCACAATATTTATGAACTTTTATATTATACTTATAATGGTATTTCTTATTCCAACAGGGATGGCTTCCTCGACATATTTAATGGAACCACTAAGCAGTGGGTTCCCGTCTGCGACGACCGTTTCACAGAGCGAAATGCCGAAGTCGTGTGTCATCAGCTGGGTTATAATAAAGTCAACATTTTCTACAGTCGCAACAAACGGACGGAAATGTTTCCCAGTGCTCTTATCCGCATCCGGTCATGGCCTGACCCGATCCAGTGTGATGGTAAGAAACCATTTTTATAAATGGTATGAGCAATAGAATATTGATTAAAGGAACCGGAATATAGTTGGGCAAAAAACAGCATGCATTGTCAATCCTTAATTTATTTCCTAGGTTCCGAGTCGAGGCTGGACGAGTGCCCGCTTCGGATGAATGGCCAGATATACGACCACAGCTACGAGTGTGCCTGGAATGGGGACTTTGTCTACGTTTCCTGCGGGGAACACAACCTGGAGAATGACCATCAGGAATATTGGGGCGGAATCAGGTAAATGAATGCAACGAAAAATGGTTTATATTTTTCGATTTTTCACAAAATAACAAGAAAAATACAGGTAACAAAATTGATACGGTACATTGTTCTTATCAGTCTTTGTTCTCATTAGTCGTATTTTTCTTTTTAGATTCTCGGTGCCGAATTTCGAACACATGGACGTGTACCACCGACTTCACCACCAGCACGACCCAGGCAACATCCACACTCATCCCTACATCCACGGCCAATCCGAAGTCAACATAAACCCCTCTGTCATGGAGTGGGTGGACATCATCGGCGCAGGAATCCTACACAATGACAAGTCACCAGCTGTCATGTCCTTCCACGATACGCCTTCTCTGCGCGGAGTGACGGTCAGGAACTCTGCTTCCGATGGCGTCTCCATTGTCTCGGCAACGAAAGGATTTGAAATGCTTTATAATAAGTGAGTCGTGAGGGTCTCCGTCCTGATTGATCTAAGAAAAAAAAACTGATCATATTTCCTGGTTTGTTAAGGTGTTTTCTCTAAGGAAATACATTGATCATATTCCTTGAAGAGTTTGTTAACTGTAGTACAGTTGATATCAGTACACGCACTTATTATACTTATTCATAAAGAAAGCTAACTAGAGTCGAGGAAAACGATGACGAAAAAAACAGAGAGAGAGAGAGAGAGAGAGAGAGAGAGAGAGAGAGAGAGAGAGAGAGAGAGAGAGAGAGAGAGAGAGAGAGAGAGAGAGAGAGAGTAGATATCACCCTGAACCAGAAAACTAACCCCCCTTCCTCTCGCGCCCGCAGATTCGTCAACAACCTGGGCGTGGGCGTCTCGCTCCTGGGCCTGACGGGGGAGACCCGCGAGACCGAAGAGTCGTCCTTCTTCCCCGTGGCCAAAGTGCGCCTCCCTTACCACATGTTCGGGATGGTGGACATGTGCGACTCCACCAAGGAACTCATGATCGAAGAGAGAATCCTGCTGTATTATAAGTACGATAACAGACCGGTGGACTGCGTGAAGATATTCTCGTCCGTGTTCAACGTGAAGAATTTCGGTTTCAGGTAAAGATGGGGATTGGTGTGGCGGTAATGATATCATGGTGAGAGGGGCGGTTCGGCTGAAATGTGGGAGCAAAGTACATAGGCCGAAAATCCATTGTACATAGTGTTTCATATAGAATAAGCCGTGTGTGTGTGTGTGTGTGTGTGTGTGTGTGTGTGTGTGTGTGTGTGTGTGTGTGTGTGTGTGTGTGTGTGTGTGTGTGTGTGTGTGCTTGCGTGTTTATGTTTATGTGCGCGCGCGCATGTGTGTGTGTATGTGTGTGTGTATGTGTGTGTGTGTGTGTGTGTGTGTGTGTGTGTGTGTGTGTGTGTGTGTGTGTGTGTGTGTGTGTGTGTGTGTGTGTGTGTTGTGTGTGTGTGTGTGTGTGTGTGTGTGTGTGTGTGTGTGTGTGTGTGTGTATGCGTGTGTGTGTGTGGATCAGCTTGCCAATTTATTTCAAGTAACATTTGCGTGTTAAACGCATGTGATAAAACTATTTAACTTTTCCTACTCAATTTATCGTCCGCTTTAATCTAACCGTATCTGCATTTCCTTTAAAGGCTCCTTCAGTACAACTCGTACAACTCTACCATGGATCCTATGATGCCGGACCGCATTGTCCTTTATGATGGCGATATCTACAATTACACGACTGATGTCTTCGCCGAAATCCACATGAACAGCAACAACCTGATGAAGTTCTTTAAGACGGAGGGAACGAGCATCTCGGTCGAACTCCATGCTACGGGAGCCTCGGGGGACCTCGGCTTCGTGGCTGAAGTGGTGACGCTTCCGATCTCTAATCTGGGAATCAGTAGGTGTCACGAGTTTGTTTTTAATATGAGTATGGGAATCATCATGTGTTATGTATCTATATATACTTTTTGATCTATTAATGATTATAGAGAAGATTTTACTAATAAGTATCTTGTATTGTTTATATAAAGCACATATATACTTCGTTCTTGGGTTCTTTTTGTAAATTAGGTTTATACATCATATGAACTGGTAAATGAATGCCATTTTACTTCGACAGACCGTAACATCCTCCACAACATGACATACAACGAATACTACAACAATAACGAGGGCGCTATCTTCGCGGCCACAGCTGGTGAGGTGAATCCTTGGCTGTGTTTCTCATACAGCCGCATAGAAAATAATGGTAAGCAATTGTATGGAAACTTCACCACCACGAGAGCAGCTGTCCACCTCGACCTACAGAACATGCAAGACGTCTACATCAAGGTACGTTTCACGAACTTTTAACAATGAATAGTTGAGCCGCATGAGCGTCTCTTTCACATGGGGTCAAAGTAAAAGGAACAATTAAATCTATTATTTCCATGGCCCGTTTCAGAATAACCTAATACGGAACAACACGGGAGGGGCGTACATCTTGGCAGGATCCATGGGAGCAGCAACAAAACTGCAAGCAAACATCACCAACAACCTGTTCGAGGCCACAAAGCACTGGCCGGCCCTCTACGTCGCCTCCCGGGAGAACTCTGCGTATCAGCACGCCCTCATTGCCTATAATGACTTCAGTTGGTCCCAAAGTCCTTACCATGATGTCATTACTTTGGCTCAGGTGAGTGCAGCATCTTTTGGGTGTATTTGGGTAAGATAGGTTTGAAAAAATATGTCCTGTAGTGATAGAATCTGTGGTGGGAGATATATAATAGAGGGAGTTCGCGGAATCATATTCCGTTTCTCTACTCTGGGAAAGCATTGGATACCATGTTCTTCCACCACAACCAACCACTACCTGTTGACAGAGTAGAACAAAGAAACCGTAAAAAAAAAAACGAAGAAAAAATTTAGATGGACAAGAACTTTGTAATCCTCATACGTCTTTAGATTCAGCTACATGTTTTTTTTTTTTTTTTTTTTTTTTTTTTTTTTTTTTTTTTTTACATAAACTCCAAACAACATAAAGTGAGCATGTTAACTGTTAGACACCTTCTCCAAATCCATGTTTCTTCCAGGTTGTCTCCATCTTCACCCACAACTATGTTCACAGCAACCTTGGAAGGCACATCCTTGACATTTATGGATTCCAGAAGGTTCGCCTGCCGGTCTACCAAACCACCTCCCATAACAGTTTGGCCAAGTAAGATTAATATTATCATTGTGGTTAATTTCATCATTATTTTTATTATCATTATTATTGCTAGTATTTCTTATTATTATCATGATTATTATTATTATTATTATTATTTAGTCATCATTATTGTTTTTATTATTGTTGTTATCATTATATTTTATTATTATTATTATTATTATTATTATTATTATTATCAATATTATTATTACTGTTGATATTATTATCATCATCATTGTTGTTATTATTTTTATTGTTATTATGGTTATGATTATTGTCATTATTATTGTTATCATCATCATCATCCTTTTCATTTTTTATCAGTATGATTGTTAGTGTCCTTATCATTATTATTGCTGGTAATGTTATGTATTACTATTACTATTACTATAGTAATGTTATTACTATTGTTGTTGTGGGTGGTGTTTTATTATTACTATTATTTTTTTATTATTGTTGTTATTATTATTATTGTTATTATTATGATGATGATGATTATTATTATAATCATTATAATTATGATTATTATTTCAAATTATTATTATTATTATTATTATTATTATGATTCTTATTATTATTACATATTTTTATTATTATTATTATTATTATTATTATTATTATTATTATTATTATTATTATCATTATCATTATCATTATCATTATCATTACTATTACTTTTTTATTGATGTTATTGTAATTATTCTTATTACTGTTGTGTTTTTCTTTTTGTCTGTTGATTTGTCCTTCCTTGTGTTATTCAAAATTGAGGTACTATACATGGTAATTATGAATGGCTGATTGATGTTATTTTTAATGCAAATATAATTATGAATCAGTCTTATTACTGAAAATGAACTAAAACCAATCTTTGCATTTTTAGGAACATGGCTGTTGACCCAACCTACCAGGGTACTGTTATAGCTGGAAGTGCCGGCCAGCAGTTTGTTGAGAATGTTTTCTATAATTTGGACAACGCATATGAAGTTGTTGCTGTAAATGAGTCGGTGTAAGTATGATTTCATCAGAAAATGGACTTCTGTATCAGAAGTAATTTCACAGATTTCAGATAAAGTGTTTGGTCTTATAGTATGTGTTTTTGAGGAGATTAAATTGAGTTCTTGTGTATTATCATTACTATTAGTATTGTCTTTGCAGTGATTATATTATCATGTTCTACATTAGATAAGGAAATGTGTTTCTTTTTAAGTGTCATTAATTCACATGTATTTTTCATTTTGTTTTTTGATCATGATTAGAATATGTGCATTTGGTAGTGTCTTGTCATGTTTTCCAGCAATTTCTGGGGAAATTTTAAATATGTAGTTTATCATCCAATTAAATTCCTGTCTAATCACACACCTTTATGCACCTCGCACGCCCCCCTCTCAACCCACGCACAGGTCTGGACTCCGTAGGTAAGGTTATGAAGTCCACAGCAGGTGGAGTAAAAAAATATTGCATGATGTGGTTATTTTCCTTTTTTCTGTATGGTATGAGGCAGCCTTTCACTGATATTTGAGTTTGTTTTTTGGTATTCCTTTTTCAGGAGTCTTATTGCTTTTAGCCGTTATGCGTGTGTAAGTTTCATGTACCACAGCACTCCATGGATACAGAGGAAAAGTTTACTTGTTAATGCCAGAAATATTATTGTTTTCTCATGATTGTTTTATGCATTTGAATATGGTTGACACATCATTAAATATGTTATTATATATATATATATATATATATACATATAGAAAGTTTTGCATCAGTTTTGAAATGGATATTTTCAAAAAAGTGATTTAGTGCTGTGTCAGTCATGATTTCACTGCTTTTACATCTTACTACTTTAAGTTGTCACAAAAGAAATGATAATAAGAATTCAAGAATATAAGAATCAACATAGTACAGTAAGCTTCCAGTTATTTTACTCTTTGGTTAAAGCATTATAAAACTGAAAAAACAACTCTACCTGTTACCCTAACTCTATATGGCAACAATGAGCCTGTAGTTTGTTACACTAACCTCCAAGCTTTGCTTCTTCTACTGTATCTTTCTAACTTGTAAAACATATCAAAGTTGTTGCCAGGTACAGTGCTACAGTACTGCACAAATATATTTGGATATGTGCATTACATACCTTATGTTCTCTAAGTAGTTACAGAAACACTGCATTATCCGAGACTGCAGGAAGACTTCTTTTGCATGGGTTGATTCCATACCATTGTATTACTTAGCTTTATATGACTGCATGTACATATTCTTAAGCACACCTACTGCATGCTTGCTTGTGGATTGCAGACGCTGCAACTCCTCTACAGAATGTTCAGAAATGGATGTCTACATGGAATCGGGTCAGGAGAGGTCAGTAGCTTGATGTATTGACAAAGGATTCTTCTATGGTGGTAACAAATATGAAACTTATTTTGTTCTTACAGTAGAATAATCAAATAATCCCTGAAGAGTAGTTTGCTTTGTAACATTGATTTGATATTTATAGAAACAAGTGTAAGTTGTGTCTGTGTTCTGAGTATTTCTTTGTTAATGAAAATATTTGGATTTTTCATATAAAGATCAGAGACATATGTAGCATATAAAAAGTCATCAGATGATCTCCAAACCCTACTGTGTTTTTGCATTAGCTACCAGAAGCATGTTGAATTGTTTCCTTATTGCACTTTTGATGAGATGGTGGCACAAATATATTAGTTGGATATGGATCATGTTAAGTTTAACTCCCTTAGTTGTTCCTTAGTTATTTGATATTGTTATTGAATTTACTGATCTTACCTCCCTAAATCTTTATCACTTTTAGCACTGTGATGCATACCAATAATAGAACTCTTAGTATATTTCCCTTTAAAGATTTTATAATCACAGAAAACAGACTCATTTTTTCTTAGGCTTTTTCTTCTTTTACTGAGACCTACACAATGCCTTTTCTAGATCTGATGTGTGGAAGACACCTATTGATGCTCGCAACAACTGGTGGGGTTTCAACACATCTGTGGCTGTGTCTGGCCGTATCCATGACAAACTGGATGATGAAACACTGCTGAGTGTAGATTATAGGTACATTAATATTTATTGTTTATGAAGTAAGCTTTTTTACTGGAAAATAAAGAGAGGTTATAGTTATTGTTATACTCAATATCTATTACTATATTTATTTCTTTTTTATTTATTTGTTCTTCTTTGCTCACAACAGCCAGTGGAAGTTGAATAACTACACATTGCTTCAAGGATGTGAGCCAGGTTATTCCTTAGTGGGTGATGCATGTTACTTGTATGTGGGGGCTCCAGTTACCTATGAAGAGGCTAAAGCATTCTGCAAAAAGGATAACGCATCCCTGCCTTTCCTACAGAAGTGGTATTGGGAAGTACAGGTAATAAAGTTAAAGTGGCAAATTTGTTTATCTGGATAAAGATGAATTGTTAGATAAAGAAAAAAAAAATCCAGCTCTAACATATATGTATAAGTGTGTGTGCGTGTGCATGTGCATTTATATTACATATATATATAATATATATATATATATATATATATATATATATATATATATATATATATATATATATATATATATATATGTATGTATATGAAAAGATAGGTAGATAGATATTATAAAAATTTGTTTTATGTCTGATTGACACATTTTCACTATCTATCCTTAAGAAATATATGTCTGATTAATCAGCACTGACTTGTTTTAATACATTTTTTATCTGCATTCTCACAGTACTGGATCCTATCTCAGCAACCTGAGTATCTTTGGGAATATGACATGGTTTGGGTTCAGCATCTTGATGTTGTCAGTGGATGTGCAGCTTTTGTCTACAGACAAGTTCGTTCAGTTGACTGTAGTCTAAATCTTCCCTTTATCTGTGAATCTGGTGAGTGACTTTTTTTATTTGGTAAATGAAGATGTAGGTGATGCAGCATATGTAGTTAAATAAAATCTAAATTAGATGTAAGCTAGTTATGCAAAATATGTTAATTCAAAAGATCAACAGCTTAACCTCACATTTCTTCTCCAGACCCTGATGAAACAATTGACAAGTTTGCTTGGGCATCGGACACTTTGGCACTGGCTGCCATTGCCGCCACGGCTGGTTGCCTTATTCTGGTTGCAGCCTGTGTATCATGTTGGGTGTGCAAATCCCGTCAACGACGCAAGGAACGAATAATCCGCAGAAATTCTATCCGTGCTTCCATCCGCTCCAATAGGTCTGCCATGTCAACCACCAGTGGAGGATTCAGTGACAATGGGAGAAGAAGAATAATTCAGGTAGATTGATTTTTTATTGTAGTTTGGTATCTATCAAAACTTTATGAAATTTTAATGCTTTATTTTCAGATGACAGACTGAAATACACATTTCTGAATGTTCCTTTAAAATAGTATTTTATATCCTGAATCATTTTGGTACATTACGCCTTTCAATCTTGAACCCTCTAACTTGTAGAAATCCAATTATTGTGAAATATTTCAGGACACACAGAGAGCAATTCCCATGAAGGGTACAAGTTCAGATGATGGCGCTGCAAGAGTCAACGGCATTCATGGATCTTTTGATTCCATCACCAAGTCCAATTTCAACTCCTCAGTCGATGAGGATCCAAGCTTTGTAGTTTATGAAGAAGGATCGCACTCGCCACCAAGATATACTTCCGAATTAGACAATAGGTAGGTGGTGTTTTATTACTGGTGCTCTTCATAATCCGAGAAGTAAAGTTACTGATCTCATAACTGCACTGTGAATTACTCTTTTTCACTTTTAAGAAGATTGGTCATTATTTCAACTCTCAGAGTCAAGAACCTTGAGGAATTTTCCAATTTAAGAGAGAAAGAAAAAAAAAAACAGTTGATCTTCAGAATAGAAAGTTCAGCAGCAAAATCACCCTGAATTTGCTGCTAGACTTTTTCACAATAACCAAAGTGAAAACAGAGGTGCACCTTCTCTTGGAATGTAATCATTATTCCAGATTTGCCAGGGATCCAAACTTGGAGAATGCCAATGTTAATGCCATGGTTCACCCGAGCTTTAATATGACCTTCCAAAACCAGGGATTCAGAGACAACTCCACTTTTGCTTCCCGAGAGAATAGCACCTTTATCTCTCAGGCTCCTTCTGAACAGTGGAATGGATCAAATAATAACATTGCTCCTTCAAGGTAGGCGGTCGGGGTCTCTCAGTGGTTGACAGAAATCCTTTAATCCTTGAAATTAGGGCATGTAATTTCTTTGTCAGAGGTAAGTCAAATCGTATATGGGTATAGGTATTGTTGTTCTCTGTTTAGGAAGATCTATTTTTGTCTCAGTATGCAACTGGACTGAAGCTCTTTGAGGTATGTATTTCTACATATTTTTTGAGATGTGATTGCCTGCCAGTTTCTATAATTTTTGGATTTTGTAACATTATTATTTTTTCTAGTTGCATTTTTTTTTCTTTTGCTTATATTGTTCTTCTGATTTTCTCTACTTGGCCATTAATTCAGCTTGAAAGGGAAAAGTGCAAGAACTGACACTAACATAAAAAACTTTCCCGATGATTCATTTAAAACACAAAAGCTAACATCCCTCTCTCTTCAGAACTTTCTGTGTAATGAAAGAGCACACTGGGGAAGTAGCATTTGATATTACAGTTGAAAAATATAACAATGTTGGTTGCTGTCCTGTTAAAGCTGGTAATGCTTTTGTGATCTCAGCATTAGATAAGTGCGAGATTCACTGGGTTCCTTGGATTACAATCAGGAAAGAATAAAGAAAGGAAATGTAAAACATTATGTATGTTTTTGTGTATATGTATGTTTATATATACTTACATGTATACATACAGTCCCCCACACTTCTAGGTTCACCAGAGCATTGCTAATTTGAACACTTGAATCCAAAATGGATGTCCTCCTTTCCATATATGGCATATGTTTTGGATACAAGAGTCAGAACTGGTACTTTGCTCATTGGCAAAGCTTTGTAGAAGTGAAAGAGTCTGTAAACTTACACACAAATGCATATAAATTAATATATATATATTTTCTTTTTAAGACATGTTCACTCCAAGCATGTGGAGGCCACCATATGCAAGCTTATGAGCATGGCTTAATTTTCTGTTATATTTCACAAGCCAAAGTGAGAAGTTTTATAGCTGAAAAACTTAATTTCTCTATCTGTGGAAATCTGGTGCATTCAAATGACTGTTGTGAACAAAACAAAAATTTACCTCAAGGACGGAGAATGTGGATTTTACTTTTTTCTTTGGGATGCATGATTATACATCAAAAGAAAACTATTTAATATATCAAGCTACTTGGCTACTTTCATAAGATGAGATATATCTCACTTGCTTAGCTGTTTGCTTTAGAAAATGTCTGAAAACTTGTTACTTTTGTTTGCTTTAATTCTTACCATGACAAAGGTGAAAAATAGCAGGTATAAAGATGATGAGAATTAACATGGCATTATGATTTGACAAAGCCAGTTCTTTAAGGTCTGCTTAGGTATACTAAACCTAATTGTACATTAAATATGAAAATGATAATTTCAATAAGATATACAGACATCACTTGGGGTTTTATTTAGATTTTAGAATACATCAGTAATACTCTATTTCTATTATTAATGTTGAAGAAATGTTCATTTGGGTTGATTGTAGCAAAGAGAAAATGGAAGAAAAAGAAGCATGCAGGCAAATTGGCATTTTTGCATGCTTTCAATTGGGAAAAATGTTCAGAGTAGAATAATCGTATTTTATTGAGATATGTAGAAAGCTATTTGATATGCAAAAGTTAAACTTCTCTTACTATTTTTGTGCTCTTTACTTTTTTCTTTTTTTTTGTATTTTGTGTTCCTGTTTCACTTCTTGTTTTGCTCCCTCTCTCTCTGTATTATGCCAATTAACCATTTCTGTGCATTTCTAACACCATGGTTGTCTCTGGGTTTAAAATTGTCTCCAGTTCTGCAAGTTTGCTGGATAAGGTATCCCTACAAAGTTTTGTCTTCCCTTTGCTTGTACGAAGCCTTTGTATTTGCATTTTCAGTTATGGCCACCCTACTTTTTCCACTTATGGCCATGCCCCACGCCTGCCTTCCAACAATCAGCCAAATTTGTTGCAGCCTCAACCTATGAGGCAGAGGCCACATCTGCCCCCTCCTACATGGAGGGTTACGCATGCTCAAAGGTAGGGATGTGCATGTTAGTGGTATATTTTTTCTCTTTTTGTACATGCTGAACTATGGTATTCATGCATGTAATTCTTAAAGTAAGGAACATATTAATAAGATAAATAATTAGGACAAGACTGCAATCTGCATCACACACAATCTGTTTGACAAGGTAACTTCACCTGAGGTTTATCCTTGACAGTATTACTATGTACACGTGGCTTTATCACATGTAGATTAGGCGTAGGTTAGTAATTGTTGCACATCACATACTAAACCATCTTCTATCTGCTTCAGCCGTCCATACAGGCCCAGTAACTACAATGTAAATGCTGGTGTTCGACCCAAGTCAATGCACGGGTAATTTATAAATTTTGGTTATGAATGTTGGGTTGTTTTTCCCTTTTTGATTCGCATTTTGGTTTGTTCTCCATTTAGTTATGATGTTTATTTCTTATAATGCAGTTTCCTGTTGTTATTGATCTGATTGCTCAAAGAGGGCTTGTACGTAGAACTGAGTGTATCACTCTCTGAATACATCGTAAATCCTCAAATTGATATTAGTTTCAACACTCGTATTGTATAATGTTTGACGCTGCAGTGTCTGTTATAGTCTGAGTATGGAACAAATTCACTACACATCAGATTGATTTTTTTGTATGGAATCTTCAGTTAAATATTGTCGCTAATATGACTCTAGTTTGATCATGTTCTCTTCCG